CAACATTGTGAACATAGCTGATATCTTAAAGAACTTTGTCAAATTATATTATGTAATATGTTAAACCAATTATGAAACTCATTCTGAATTGAGCAAACTCAACAGAATATTTGTTCTGCTTTCAGCACCCATTATAAAGTCTTGTACATTTCGGTTTTAGTAATGGATATTGTTTTGTAAAAATTTAAGAGGAAGCCAACCAGTTCATGTTGTTATTGTAATCACCCTGCTGATTGAAATTCACTAACTCATTTACTGATGTTTGACTGAAGAAAAAGGGGAAAATTTTAGTGCTATTCTTCTGCAACTGACTGAGGAAAAGATCGTTTAACTAGTAACATAATCTTTTATGCATTAGGATAAATTTTACTGGGCTTAAATGACTCAAAAGAATTTGCACACAGCCGACAAATAGTAATAATATTAACTTCTGTCCACAAGCATGTTGTAATAAATTTTTAAAAATTATCTCTCTAAAAAAGGTAGTTCTAAGAAACCTACAACTCCAGTACAAAATTTATCTAACAAAAATTAGCACACACAATAGTTAATTTTCCAAAAAGCATAACAACTTTTCATACGTTAGGCTTTCTATAGATAAGGTGCCAAGCTCCACACTGCCTCTTAAAACCTGAGAAAACTGTAATCAATCTGGATCCTATAAATAAACAGAATCGCTAGGAAAAAAAATATTTAAAACTATTGGTACCACAGTTGTAGCCTCTGTGATCTGTTCTCTCACCTATGAGGGAACAGTGATAGATATAATACATCTAGATGGTTGCAGGGGGCTACACCCATCCCATCCTCATTCTCTCCCCTGCCAAACAAGTTGCAATTATTTGTCCACAGGACCATTAGAGTAAAGGGCTGTCTCAAAGCAGGTATTAAATGATCACATTTTAAAATGATCACATTTTAAATGATCACAGCAAGGTGTTAAAAAATGGCTTTGGGATTTATGCAAATGGAAAAAGTGCTTTTTGTATTTTATGAAAAGGACTTCTGAGTACTCTAAGTCTCTTAAACTATAGCCACAGCCAAATAGAAAATGGCATTTTAATTTCACCAAAAGCATAACAATGGCATCTTAGAAAAAGTGCAGGGGTCTATCTGCATATGTGTATGTTCTTTAGGAAATAGAACATGTGCAGAAAAGAGAAAAGAGAGCAAGTGAGAATGCTACCGTCAGAAAGACCTGCTTGCAGGTTTGGCCCTTGCCAGGTACCTGGGAATTGGAATGGTAACACTCCTCGCTGATAGAAATTTTCTTTCCCTAAATGATAGCGGTGGCCTGCTGTCCCTAGGCTGTTTACACGAATATTGTTTATCCTGAATATATGTTTATATTCTGGGAGTCTGGGATTTTGGTACATGCTATATAGAGGGTACATATGTGATCTCAAGAAAATCCTTGCACCCTGAGCCTTTAATGAACTTCTCTGGTAGACGACATTTCATCAGTGTTGTCACAATTTGTTGCTGGAGAAATTAAGGGCGTCTCTTGTGACTCTAGTGGGAGAGGACTCTTGAAAGCCTATGCTCGGTTTCCTCTGGACTTTGCCCCCATGTGCCTTTTTTCTTTGCTGATTTTGCTTTGTATCTTTCCGTTGTAAGGTACCTTACCATGAAGGTACTCATTATAATGGGAAATATTCATTCCTTGATTATCTCTATATGCTGAATTCTTTGAGTCCACCTAGTGAATCTTTCTAACCTAAAAATGATCTCAGAGACTCCTGATGCAGAAGGAATAGCCATTTTGCTGCTACTCAATTACCATTCCATACATGAATGTAAATTTCCCTTCAGGAAAAAAGTAAGCAACTCTTTGATCATTCTGTGTGTGTGTGTGTGTGTGTGTGTGTGTGTGTGTGTGTGTGTACACACACACATATATATATGTTTACAACTTGATATTTTGTATAGTGTTTCCTTGTACATTTTTGGTGCTAATTAAAAGTGGAATAATATTTACTTTACATATATGAAGCTAAGAGTCTTTAAATTATATGTCAAGACTCTAAAGTTATGTTTTCCACAACAGCTGTTACTTGACTGCCTTATTTACAAGTATCATTTTGTAACACAATATTAACTTTTATATCTTCAAGAGTAATGTAGCCAGATAGAGTTGCTGTAGAAACCATAATTGATTCTTGTCATAAAGTATAGGGCATTGATGCATGAAATTTAAAGACTATATACAAAATCTCAGTATACATATTGCTAGAATGAGGCATAGTTAATGTGGGAATCATAAGATTTTTCTGTCAACTATGCATTTCTAAACCTGAACCTTAACAGTGCATGAATAATTTGACATTTAAATAACACCTCGTCTGTTTTTTTAAAGGCAAAATATATGTAGGAGGGAATCTAACAAGCTGATTGATCATCTTTCTGTGCATTTAAAAATATCAGCTTGAGTTAAAATATTGTAATAGAGAAAGTACTAATGTTCAAATATATGTACTTTAGTAAATTAATCACTTCATTAAATACATTTTATTTTAACTTTGATAAGTCACTGATACCTATAATCTTTATAACATGGTTTCAGAATGAAAATATAATTAACATAAAACATTACAAAAATGTTTAAAAAATTAGTGAAACAATTGTGAATGAAAAGTATATTCTTAAATGATATACTATATCATTAAAACCATTAAAAATTTTAAATATAAGTATAGGATCCACAACTAAAGACCAAAATTGGGTTTTTAATGACTTGAACAATTAAAACAATTTTTAAAACCTATTAATCTCCTATTTGGCTTTTAGCTACTAAGGAGCAAGACAATATTTCTGTAACGTGGAGTGCCATACATTCTAGTTTGGATTTGAGTGTTGAAGCAGATGGTTTTATTGAGAAACAATGAATATGATTTTATGTTTATATAATACATATCCTGAAGATAACTTAATGGCAATATTCTGCTTTCATGAGTTCTACTTAATTTTACTTTTCAGAATTTTTGTAAGGGTTCATTTGAGCCAAACTGATGACATATGGCAGGGAACAAGATCTTAAATGCTCCCTGAGGATTTCTACTTTAAATGAGTAAAAGGAAAAATGAATGAAAATAACTTTACATCCAACATGGAGAGAGCTAATCCAGCACTTTTAGTTAAAAACAAAACACTCTATCATATTTCTAAATAAATGAAGAAAAAATCAGATATTGTGATATAAAATTTCATGTTGCTACTCTAAGGCGACTAAGATTTAAATTGTTATGATTTTGGAATATACACAGATTTAAATTTTAAGCTAATATTGGATTCTTAATGTTAAAGTCTGATATGAAATAAAAACATATTCATAAACAGCTGAAAAAAATTTACACAATGTAGACGACTGGCAAACCGAGGCCAATTCATATAGATGAAGATATATTCATTTTAACTAAAGCAATTTTTTTTTAAGTAAATGAAATTTAGTTGTGACAGCACTCTTGTCAGCTAATTTGATTCCTTTTATGAAGTTAAGTATAAATAAAAGCAATATAGTAAAGATTCAGGAACTTCGTAATTACCAGCGATTAAATTATTTGGAAGAATTATTTCTGCATTCTTAATCTTTGTATTGGTAAAATATGCTTCTCTCATTCAATTATTTAAAGTATTTTAGTTCTCTCATCATTCTTCATATGACCTTTGGTTCTTATTCTTTCTTGAGATTTTACATAATCACTTATCAAATTCTTAAAAAATAAATCACTGCCTTGTTAATTTTTCTTGGTATTTTCTTTTGTTCATCTCAAAAGTTCTTTTACTGTGACTTTAATATTATGCTTAGTGAAAACAGTTACAAACATAAGAAATCTGAAGCTTAGAGATCTACAAAAGCAATGAGGACAGCAGTGATGCTTAATTACTTAAAATATAAATACTCCATTCTGCCTTTCTGTATTATCTTAGTGTAAAACTTTCAATAACTGGCTTTAATTTCCTTATCTATGAGAGGCATTTACTTTTTTACAAAACTTTTCCCATAAAATACAGTTAAGTGTAACTGAAAATCTTGTGATCCCAGTCTGAGATAAGAAATATACTGTGTGGAGATGTGAATTTTGGGAGGCTAAACAGACTCATTTTATTGAGTCTGTTTATTCTTACAGCCCAGCTACGCAGCATTCATGATTTACATTTTGGTCTTGGTAAATAGATAAATTACTAGATTGTGAACATTTAGGTTACCTTCTGAAGAGTTAACATTGTGAACTTTAAGTTCATTGATGCTGAAGATCAGCTTTCACACTAAATGTAGACTATGAACCTGGCTGAGATACAAAGAAATAGAGACTTTTTCTCTATCTCCTTCCAGATTCTTTAGGTTGATTAGGCTAATCTCTGCCTTAAAAGGTCACAAAATACAAACAAAACAAAACAAAAATGAATAAACAGTAAATCTACTCACGGTCAAAAAAAATTAGCTATTTCCGTATTTGCTAAAGATGAATGGCAATTATCATCACAGTCAACATGAATGATTGTTTATATTATTTCTATGAATTCCTATCTTAAAAATATCTATTATATATTTGTTTTCCATTTTGGGGTGTTTGACATAATTAAAACAAGAAGTCTCTTTTAGAAAAGCAAACACATATTAAAAAAAAAAAACATCTAAAACATCTCTCCAAGGAGATATCCACATGAAACAACTAACGATTTTTATTTATTTGAAGAAATACTGAGAATTAGGGCTATGATCCTGTGTTATGCAAGTGATAAAAACACTAAAAATGGAAAACATTTTACTACTTTGCTAATTTGTAAAACTGCCCTTTTTTCTTAAGAGATTTCAATGATTTACCATTTATGCTGTTATTTTTAATGAATGCTAAGTACAAGGGCAGCAACTATGGGTATTTCCCTATTTTTCCAAACTTAGGGTAATATTTTAATGATATAAAATGGTTTCAATCTATAAAACTTAAAATTCATGCACAGAAATAATGAATAATAGAATAATAAAATGTACTGCTTACCTTTCCAGAAACAATCTTTTCATAAATCTGAATTGGTTGATCTGCAAAGAATGGGGGGTAGCCAGCTGCCATTTCATAGATTAATACTCCTAATGCCCACCAATCCACTGCCTTATTGTAGCCCTTAGAAAACAAATGCCAAAAGTCAATTAATTCACTCAGAAGAGAATGAAGTCATAGATGACTTCGAAATAATCTTCAAGCATATGAAAAAATTTTAAAAGCAGTTAGAGTAGTTATTTAGAATGCAATAAAAAGATAAACGAAATGTATCAGGTCAGGTTTAAACTGAACAAAGGGGAGACTTTCCATATATTGGAATTAGATATTAGGAAATATTAAATCTTCCTAAAATCATTACGATTATAGACAATAAAATAGTTCCTATTTAAATTGGGATAATTTAGTTGTCGCTGAACAACAGGAAGGAAGTTGGACCAAATTAACTCTGGAAGCCAATTCCAAGTCTATAGTCTTATGAATCAGGTTTTCTAGAGAATACCTAGGAATGTTAAAAGTTTCAAAATAAAATAGTAGATGTTGAACTTCTAATAAATAGTGGAGTTGACTACCAAATATTCTATATTGTTAGATTTTAGGAGGGTAACTATACTAAGGATAATCCTATCCACTTCACAGGATCTTATGAAAGCTAAGAGTTTAATTTGGAAGCTAATAAATGTAAATATTTAAGTATACTTTAGTTATCTAATGTTTTGCTTCTCATATCTAAAAGGTATACAGAAAAGATATTTAATTTATGGGGTTTTATGAGGACTATATCAAATGAAAGAAAATAACATGTATAAAAAATGTGCTATCAACCAAATGTACAATGCTAAGGTTATTTTCAATTGGGTTATTTTTCCATCTTAAATTTACTAAAATTATGACATAGAAGTATTTATAAAAAATAAAGAATAAAATATTAACATGTTTACGTAAAGTTTGTTAACTATGATCAGTGTCAATTGGCAGAAAAGACTGAAAAAAAAAAAGAAAGAAAAAACAACTCGATCATGTAGAAGAATGAGCTGAGTTCTTGTCAGATCTTTTGGTCTGCCTGCAAATGTATCTTCTGATTACCTTCATCCCTCCCCACATTCCAACTTTTTGTCAAAATTTTAGCTTTACAAACTACTTAGTTTTCAATTAGCTAACATATAATACTATAATATAGTATTTCCTTTATTTCTGCTTCTGTATTTTTTTTTTTTTAAAGCCTGCAGCACTTGTTATTCCTAGGTGGTCTCCCATCCAAGAACTAACGGGGCCCGACCCTGCTTAGCTTCCAAGATCAGACGAGATCGGGTGTGTTCAGGGTGGCATGGCTGTAGACTGTGTTCTTTTATAGGGAGAGAGACTAGTAATATGACTAGCACTTTGTTTTGCTAATAGAAATGGGCATCAATTTTGCTTAACTCTTTTAATTTAACTTACTAGTACTATCATTCATTACATTATTTTTATTATAATGAGAGCACATAATGTTGAACCAGATCCTTTTATTAAACTTTGATTTCTATGTTTTAGACTGTGTGCTACTGTTCATAAGAAATGTGAGAGATGGTTTTTTAATAACCCAGGTATAGAGAATAAAAAAAATTAAAAAACTAAATTACCATAAATAAATGGGTAAAGGACATGAAATAATTATTCACACACACAAAGAAATATCAAATGGCTACAAGCATTTAAAAAATCTAATAATCAAAGACATGAGACTTAAAATATCATTTATTACCTATTAAGTTAGTAATGATTTTAAAAATAAGAATACCCAATGCTGAAGAGAGTGTGGTGAAATAGGCACTCTCATATACTGCTAGTAGAAGTGTAAAATGTTACAATCTTTTTGAAAAGCACTTTGGCAATATGTACCAAGAGCCTTAAGAATGCTCATACCCTTTAACCCACTACTTCCACTTCCAGAAACCTATCCTAAAAAAATAATTTGAAATGCAGAAAAAGCTTTATGCACAAAGACATTTGTCACAGTTATTTATAATTTTTTCAAAAAGGAAACAATCTGAATATTCAACAATAGAAGAATGGTGATATACTTTATAGTTACATTTGCAAATAAGCCATTAGAATAATGTTTGCATGCTTATCATTTAAGTGAAAAAGCTGAACACAAAACTGTATATTCACTATATTTCAACTATAATAACATGCATAAAAAATATATTAAAGTGTTTTTTTTAAAGCTGTCTTTGTGTGATGAAATTATAGTGTTTTTTTGATTGTTTATATTTTTCTGTATTTTCCAAGTTTTGTACAATGAACATCTATTATTTCTATAATACATATACATTTTTAAAGTTTTGGCACTTATTCTGTCATATTATTTGTTAAATGTAGTTAAGAAGAAATGTGTTAACAGCAATGATATTTAGCTTATAAAAGACTAAAAAGTTAAAGATTTAAATTATAAAAGATGAGAGAAAGCTGAAAGAAATCTTTTATTTTATTCTAGCACTTCGATAGGTTAGCCAAATTTCAATTATTCAGAGAGTAGGTATTCAGTTTGTAAATGTTGAGGCATGTGTCTTATCCTTTTCTCTTTCCTTGCTCCTATTTGTGCCTGGTTATTGTTAATTTCTTCTTTCTAGCTTTCTCTACCAAGGGATGGCAGTAGAAAAAAAAAAACAGAAGTTAAACCATCCTTTTAGATATAATTACAAGTTTCTCTCACCACATTTAGAGAAGTAGAACTGTCTTCGATAAGAACTTTAACTATTCAATTACTATAGTATTCCCATTTTTACACTAAAATTAAAAATATAATTCACAAACATTTCTTTCATATAAGTAGTAAAGCTGAAACAAAGGAAGAATCGACAACTAGTGCATATCATCTTTAGATCTGCCTCTCAATATAACTCAGAGCAAGGCTTCTCCACCCTCCCATTATTAAAAATAATCATGAAAAGGCTATGTATGCTTTTGGCTTCAAAACACGGACCTACATGTCAAATTTATTCATACTATTTCTCTTAGATTCAGAGTTAAAATTGACAGAATTTATTGGATTAGTAGTAGACTCTAACTTTTTTAGTAATTATGCACAGATTTAAACTCATAATTCATAATTTAGATTAAATAAAAATGTAAATTTAGATCAATAAACTTTTCATAAAAGTCCACACTGATGCATGTCTTATATTTCTACTGCTTACATAATGACAGTATAAATATACCTTGCTGAGGATTATTTCTGGAGCCAAATATTCTGGAGTACCACACAATGTCCAAGTTCTGCCTTTAACTCTTTTGGCAAACCCAAAGTCTGTGACCTATAAAAGGAAAAAAATACTCATGAACATCTATTGTTTCACAATAAATGTCCTCATTGTATCTAAGTTGAAAGTTAAAAATCAGGGTTGAAATTAAAAACAGAAAAAAAAAATTAAGTCAATATAATTGAGACTAATCCATGAGGTCACTATTTAGTGAATGCAAGTTAAAACAACCCATGCTAAATAGTGTTTCCCTGACTCAAAGAAAGAAACAAATTAACCAAAAAATTGTTTTAATAAAAATGAAGCAGTGACAGAAGTGTTCCCTAAGTCCAACATGTCCCGTGCCATTAATTACATCATCAGAAGTGCAAAAACACCATTGGGAAAATCTACTGATAACTGTGTAAAAAGAGATGCTCCCACTTTATTAATAGCAGAAATGGAAAGAAACCAGTGTAACCAGTCAGTCCAGTATTGGGAGCTGGAGCTCTTTTGGCAGTTGCATTATAATGTTAAAAAGCATGGACTCTAGGGACAGACTATCTGTGTTCAATTCTGACTCCACCTGTGTGACCTTGCTGTGCCTTATTTTCATCAGCCTTAAAATAACAATAACAACATATTTACACTTGTTATCAGTATTAAAAGAAATGATACATATAAAATGCTTAGAATAATGCCTGGCACTAAATGAGTGCTCCCAAATTTAGCTATTATTATTTCTTTATGTAGGAGCCTTTGCTCTATTCACAACTACAGATTATAGGGAATATAAACAGGGTCTATCCTTGATGGGACTTTTTGGTCCCTGTAATAATAGCAGAACTATTAGCTCAGTTTAAACTATTAGGAAGAAGTAATTGTCTCCCTCAAATAAAAAAATTCTAATATTGGTAGTTGTTAAATGTATACAACTTCTTACCTAGTATTTTCTCAAATACATAATATATAACGTGTTCAAGTCATACCTGGATATAACCTTGGTGGTCAATTAGGAGATTTTCAGGTTTTAGATCTCTGTAGATGAGGTCTAGTGAATGAAGGTACTCAAATGTCAGCACTATCTGAGCTGCATAGAACCGTGCATGGGGTTCACTACAAAGGAAAAAAAAAAACTGAATTTCTGTAAAATGGTTTAACATATAGTAATTAGTAAATTACACACAAAAAATAATATGGGGTTAAAGTATTTTGGGAGTAAAACGAATTTCTTTTAAACATATGTAATAAATCTTGTTTCCAAATATTTACTAAATCTTTAAATTGTCTTAAAATAATGCTTTCATATGCTTAGTGGGCAGCATATGTTAAAGAAAAATATAACTTTCAAATTGTCATCATATTTTAAATTATTATTGGCAACAGTAGAAGAAACTGATGTCTTCATAATTATGTCTGATTGAAAAGCAAATGTGCTAATTAGATTGTCTATCAGGGCCATTGCTACTGTTGATAGGTTTCAACTACATTCTCATAAATTTCAAGTGCTTATTAAAGAATTGTATATACAGAGCTCTTTAACTGCAATAATCTACAGATTGATGCCATTTCGCCCAGACTATTCCTATTATAAAAATGATATATGCTCACTATAGAAAAAGCATCATAAAATATTAATGAAAAATAAGACACTCATAATCCCAACCAGAAACCACAGATACAAGCCTGGTGTCTAAATTTCAAATCTACTATGCAAGTTTACAAAGACACTAAATACAGTTATAAACTGTATATTTGTGTAAATATACACAGTTCTTGCATGCATAGATTAGATTAACTGATAGTGTAATTTTGATGCCACATTTTGAATATTACTCCAAAAGGATATACTGACTTTTTACTTTGAGTTTCTATTTTATCTTCTAGTGTATACACTGAATTCTGCTAATCTGCCTGACAAATTGCAATAACTTTCAGATTTGTGTCTTCAGTGAACAACGTTAACTATAAATAGAATCTCTCTCAAGATGGCTGGCATTAGTTTGATCTAGTAGCACCAGAAATAGATTCCAAAAAAAGATTATATATGTTGCTCCTTTTGCTTGTCACTATATTTCCTAAGTCTTAGGCTGATACACATCAGGTGCTCAGTAAATATTTGTTGAATGAATAAATATGTTTGAAAAAACATTCTGGGGGCAATATTTTATAACACCCTTTTAATTCTAGCATCATCCCAACATTGTAATAGTCTATATTATGTGTCATATGACAAGGAACAAGGAGAACACTGTACAGCAAGATTAGAAGAACCATCCTGGTCATTTATCCTTCACCTTGGAAATGTCTGACCTGTTTTCTCCATGCATCTGTAAATCTAAGATGCACTTATCATCTTACAAATAAATATAAATTTATCATCATAAATATAAAACGCACTCAGAATTTTATATTATTTCCACAGACTGGTGTTTGACTGGAGGAACACAAACATTACTTAGATCTATAATCAAATTGTTGAAAGGTGTAAAAAAATATTCTACAGGAAGATTTAATGCTGTAGCAGCTTAAAGTCTAGACAGATACTGTTTAAGTAGAGAACCATAATGACTCCATTGATTCTTATTAGAGCCATGCTCAACAATAATTCAGTAGACTAACTGCCTTAAAGATTTTGAGATGGAAGTTAGCAACCTTTCAAGTGTATCTGAAATATGTGTTAAGGGTTAGAAAAGAATGTTTCAGTGCGAATTATGTCAGTTGAGTTGCTTTCCTACTAGTAGCAAGTCGAATTAAAGAAACAGAAGTGTGGGGAGTTGCAAATGAAAGAAGTTAGTAATTATAGAAAATGGACAAAATATGTTTTTTGAAGGCAGGTGTAGGTGAGGTTCTTCAGTGTAAAACTTTGAATTACAATAGGGCAATATGAGGATTCTGAGGTTGCTTGGACAAGAGGTGGTAGGAGAGAGGACAACATGAGATGAAAGAAAATCATTAAAGATAAACAGAAGTCACTTTACATTAGCACAGTGCCTGACACATATTAGGTGCCCTTTACATATTAGGTCAACAAATAAATTTTGGTTTAGGCTCTAATATAGCTCTAATGTTGGCCCATTACTGAATATAATTTCATGATAATCCAAGTCTATTATCATCTTTTTATGAATCTAATGACCATCACCAGTCCTGTTTGGATTCATATTTATGTTACTTACATCAATATATAATGAATGTACTGAATGAAGCTGGACGTGCTCTGGTTTCAGCTTCATTCTATTAGTGATTATTAGTAAACAGTAGTAGTTTATAAACTGTTGCGCACATGTAACAATAACAGAAATCTATAATCCATTTTAATAACTGCGTGACCTTATTAGTAATAACCTAATGATAAGGTAAAAACTTTAAAAATTATGTTTATATTTTTAAACCTCAACACAGCAAAACCAAGTTTTATAATCTCATCACTATGATATCATTATTGTTGTTTCTATATATTCCTTTTTTATCTTCATCCTTACACAAACCTCTTCCTTAAAGTTATGTAATTAATATTTGTTCAAAAAATACTGGTAGGTTTAAATTCAATTAATTTTTGCATTTTCTGGAAATTCTTGTAATAATAGATTCTCACAATATCTACCAATTGAAAATAACTTAAAAATTTGGTTTAAAACAAGCACACAGTAAGGTTTGGGGAGAGTGAAGTATTAGTTACCTGAACCTTCCAATTCTTCTTAGATGTGAAAACATTTCACCCCCAGGGACATATTCCATAACCATATATAAATTAGAATTATCCTATGAAAAATAAAAAGGATAAAGAAATCAAAATTATGGAACCAAGACTATTTCTCAAGAAAATATTTTAAGACAACACCATGTTTAATTAGAAAAAGACATTTAAAAATCCATCTGACAGATTACTATCAGTGGGAAATAGAGAATAAGTAGAAAATATTTGAATTTTTCTACACTGGCACTCATTTTTTCCCCCAGTATTCTTGATACGATTTATTATGGGACTTTTGCTGTTCCTGCTCTTGTAAGAAACACTTAACCCCTGAACTATTATTAAACATTGCAGCAATTACTTAATGCTATTGTGTATGTAAAAAAACAACTAGGTTAAAAACAAATTGAAAAAGTTAGTAAGAATATTTAGATTTTATGTGCTAAATTAGGTCAGAGAGATGAATGATTTTTAACATCATTCAGAATTCACAGGTCTTTATTTGATTTAAAGAATAAAAGAGGAAAAAAGAAAAAAGATTAAAATGTTTCATACGAATCAGTATTGTAGATAGATGCCAAATACCATTCGCAAGAACCGAAAAGCTGCCAGCTGAGAGAATAAATCTTGTGCAAGTTTATGAGCCAGTTGATTAGAGGGGTAAAGACTGTTCTACCTCACATAAATGAAAAGACTAGAGCACACATTACTAAGTGAAAGAAGATGGTGAGATTGTGGCAGAAAATGTTCAAGAGAAAAAAGTATGTAAATGTATTAATTAGCATAAATGTAAAAATTCCTTAATAAGATATCACTATGGATTTTGATAAAATATTTAATTTCATAATAACATCGCATGAAAAATTACACACTGCCTTTAACAGATTCCCTAGGGAGAACCAAAACCTTTTCACGTGTTACCTAAGTTATATGTATAACACAATTTAATTACATAAAACCTAAATATATTACTTTTTTGTTCATTCATATTCTCTAGATTTATCATTTGGTTTAGAATCAAATTATAGCTTTATAGTTTAAAAAATATATAAGGTTGAAAATATTTTATTTAAATATTAGTAAAATTTACCTTAAAAGAATACTCCAGTCGAACAAGAAAAGGAAAATTCACTGCCTGTAATATTCTTTTCTCATTCAAAGTATGTTCTATTTGTTTCAGTTTAACAACCTGTAATTGAGAGATAAATATATTAAACATATTTTAACAAAATTTTACTATAATTTTACAAGAAAAAAATTAAATAAATGTCTTTCATATAAAAATGATTAAGTGAAATTGCTAGAGCTGGATAAAGATCATAATAATAACTACCAAGTAGGCTTATCAGATTCAAATGAAAAACCTAACAGAGGATTTAAAACTTGGTCTTAAGATGGTCAACTATGATTTTCAGTAAAGAAGCAAGAGCTAAGAAGAATTAACACATGATAAATTACTTAAAAAAATTAATATGTGAAAGAACTTAGTTCCTAATGACTAATAGTCTGCTAAAGAAGCTGGCACAAATCACTGCAATAAGTAGGTATTGATTTAAATCTTCAGGAGATCAGCAAGGAAATTAAGGATTGAGGAAAAGTCAATAACTAAAAAACAGTAGGTAAAAATGAAAAATCTGTTCATTTCATAATACATGAATAAATACAAGAACAAATCCTAAAAATTCAATTTGCACAGCCACAAGAGATGACACACAAAATAATGGCAAAAAAAGACTGCTTATAACAAATAAGTCATTTAAGATTAATCGAGCTTCCTCTGGATTGTCTACTCAATCAGGTACATGGCAGGGGAAAGCACTTTATCCTGACTTCATGGAGACTATGATTCTCTCCCACAAGTTATTCTACTTTTAATTTAAGAAAAGGTTTCTTAGGATCTTGGGAGATATAAATAATTGGGAGATATAAATATTTATATCTTGGGAGATATAAATAATTGTCCTATATGTGTGTAAATCATTAAAAAGTGGCATTCTTTCTTGATAGAGTCTTATTGTCAATGTGGGGTAGTCATAGAGTTCAAGAAGTTGAATATGAATAAGAAAAGCAATTAAAAACACCATCCAGTATTTAGTACATAAAATTATAGTATAAAAATAATGTTGAGCAAAGGATAAATGACTAAGAATCAAAAGATCTATGTTCTAATCTAGGTGTCCTATTCAACCAGTTTTGTGACTTGGGAGAAGTTATTTCAACTCTTAGGATCTCAGATTTTTTTCCTTTTTTTTTTCCCCATCTGTAACGTGAAGTGGTTGGATTACTAATGTACATTCTAACTAGTTACAGAACCAATTAGTCCATACTTATCATGATAAATTACATAACATTACCTGGAGAATTACTATTGCTTTGTGTTTACTTTTTTTTAGTGAACTATTTTTTTAGTAGTTTCAGGTTCACAGTAGAATTTAGTAGCAGGTACAGAGAGTTTCCATATATCTCTTTTCCCCACACATGCATAGCCTCCCTCATTATCAACACTTCTCACCAGAGTGGTACATATGTTACAATCAATGAACTTATACTGATGCATCATAATCACCTGGAGTCCATGGTTTACATGAGGGTTCACTCTTGGTATTGTACATTCTATAGGTTTGGACAAATATATAATGACATGTACCTTATCAAAAAGAATATTAACACTACCCAAAAAATCCTGTGCTCCACCTATTCATCCTTCCCTCTCCACTAACTTGAGGCAACCACTTATCTTTTTATTGTATCCATAGATTTTTATTTTCCAGAATGTCATAGAGATGGAATCATATAGTATATAGCCTTTTCAGACTGGTTTCTTTCAGTTAATAATATGTATTTAAGTTTCCTCCATGTGTTTTCATGGCTTGATAGCTCATTTCTTTTTAGCGCTGAATAACATTCCATTGTCTGGATGTACCACAGTGTTTACTTTTGCGTATTATGATATAGCAGGTTTTTAGTTAGGCATAGACAATGTGTTACCTTGGAAATAAATTAATGAAAACTACAACAGAGAGGCTTTCTGCATTATAGCCCTAAGCCAACTATGTAATGTGGGGGCATAACAATTAAAAATGGAAAAGAATCCAGGATATATAAACTAGCAAAGCAAATATGCTTAATTTTTAAATTAACTTAATTAAAAACTAACTAATTAAAATCTAACTTACTTTTAAATGTGTATATCTGCCACATATAAGGCATAATGATAAGTGCGATAGACATAAAGAGAGTGTCTGCTTGCATGCTACATAAAATCTGTTTGGAAATATGATGCATAAGTATGTGAATAGCAACATATGAACAATTGCTAAATGAGAGTTATGATGTCATAAGTGTTCAGAGGAGAAAGTGTTTACATTAGGCCTAGTACATAATCTTTCGGAGTCCTAGATTTTTCTAAAAAATGCTGATAATAATAACACCTGCTTTAAAAGTGATTGTGTGGCATAATGCATGTCAAGTGACAACATAGTGCCTGGCACAAAGTAAAAGGTCGAGCATATTATTTTTATAATCTATTTTAAATGGTGAGAGTTCGGCTGGGTCTTAAAGATGGATAGATAGCAAAGGTTAGAGAAAAATAGGAGACAGTGCAGTCAGGGTTAATATCCAGAACCATTACCTGAAGTGAGAAAATATACAAAGGTAAGTCTGAGTGCTAGTTCCAGTTGGCTATATCTTAGGACAGTGGTTCTCAAATTTTGGTAATGAAGTATCCCTAAATGGCAGAGAAAAATTAAGAAGTACACCCATGGAGGTTTAGTCCATGTTTTATTTTCCAAAATTCATATAACATTTATATTTACTTCTTGATACTTCTGCTGGTTTAAATATATATATGTATACACACACACACACACACACACACATAAGTATTTATAAATGATTACTTATCAACTGGATTTTTAGTCAAACATGAAGAATTATTAATAAGGAAAATAGGCCATATATCATCACATATACTCCTACCCTTCCCAGCATAGCACTATATAGTTGTGTGGGTCAAGTTTCAAATAGAGAAGTAGAACACAGAGGACATGTAGGGGAATAGTGTGAGATAAAAGGCTTTCATGTAGGGGAACAGTGGAGTCTGGAAGAAAATTATGAAGGGTTTGAAAGCAGGCTGCAGAGTTATGACTTTACTTAATAAATATCAGGAAGCTTTTTGAGTGAGTCAGTGAGGTGATATCATATGATAAGAAAACTTTGTTGGCACTGAGGAAAGTGAATTAGTAGAAGGTGAAAACTCTAGGGTTGTGAAAATTAAGATGTTACTGTGAAAGCCCAGTTAACATTAGTGAGAGACGAATTAGGTGGTGGTAGAAAGTATCTCAGGGATAACAAATACATTTGAAAGGAAAAATTAACAAGGAGTATAGGTATAGAAATCAGACAACCCTAGGTCAAATTTTTGGTTCATTTTACTAGCTGACTTTGAAAAAATTACTTTAATAAAGTGGTTATTGGCTTAAAGAAGGATTAATGCAAACAAAGTTGTAAAGATTCACTGATACAGTAAATATAAAGTGCCTAGCAAAGCTTCACACATGGTGTGGAATAAAGAAAATATGATTTCCCTTAATTTCTGTACTGATTTTGATTCCTGCCCACCCCCGCCCCCCGCCACCTCATACACCCTAAGATAGGAGTAACCAAAAAAAGTTTATTGAAAGATTTGTGACTTTATTAACATAAAAGGTTATTATGGAGTATTATTTTCATAGTTAGCTTCAGCAAATTAAAGTAAATAAACTTGAAAAAAATCAGAATATAAAGGTTTTGTCCTAATTATAAATAGATCCAGAACACTGCCACAGAGAAGTGACTTAAAATGGCAGCTATTCGTCTAGGAAATACTCTTTTGCCATGATTTATCCCTGAGGTAGCCTTAATAACTTACTTAACAAGTCACTGTCTTACCAAAAAAGGAATTTAAAAATTATTTTTTAAATATTTTAAAGCATTAAAATCCTTTCTGTAATCCTTTTAATATTTTAAGACTAAAGCACATTTTATTAATTCCTTAGGAAACATACCATAAAATATTAGGTACTATCCATATAATAACATTTTAATGACAGATTTAATCAAAAATATAAATTTGAAGCATTTTATTTTTGTTGTGCCAGCAAAACAAATATACAAATCACCCTCTTGGAGACCCAATTGCCTCGTATAGAAAATTAGGGCAAGGACTTGTTGATCTCGAGAGCTCCACTCTCAGAGTGTACAAATTAAGAGTTTGAAATGAATCGAAGCTTGGATAAGAACACATAGGGTGAGAGTACAGAACATGACAAAGAGAAGAGGGGATAGTCCTGAGCTTGAGATTTGCAATCTTTAAAAAGTAGACAGGAGGAAAAACATAAAACAAAACAAAACAAGAAAAGGCACATAAAAAAAGAAGAGCCTAAAGAGGCATGAGCATAATCAGAAGAACATTGGGGTCCAGAAGTCCAGGGACAACACAGTTTTAAAGAGTAGCCAGCACAGTCACAGGCTCTAAAAAAGTCACATAAGATGAGAAAAAAGAGTTCAATGGACTTGGTGATTAGGTCACTAGATTGGTGTCTCTTGGCAGAGGCATTTTAGTGGAGTAGCAGGAGGTAGGAAATGAACAAGAAGGCAGCTAGATTGTTGTGGGTTAAATAATTAAGAGGAAGTGAGTGAATAAGTGATTAAATTATTTTTTCAAGAAGCATGGTTAGAAAAGTTACGTGAAAGGAGGCAGTAGACAAAGATGCACAATTAAATGTGTGTATAGTGTGCATTTAATTTTAGAGAGACTTAATAAGTCATTTCATGTTAGAGGTTAGTTTTGTTTTTGTTTTAAGGCAGAGGTTGGACTGGAATGTCAGATCAGTCTAATGCTGTGCTATACATACAAAATGATAGTCACGAGCAACATGTGGTTACTTAACACTGGAAATGTAGCTAACCTGAATGGAGATGTGCTATAAGTGCAATATATACATCAGGTTTGGAAGAATTGGTATGAAAAAAAGAACGTAAACTAGCTCAGTAATTTTTATATTAATTATGTACTGTAATGGTAGTATTTTGGATACACTGGGGTAAATAGAATCTATTAACATTAATTTCAACTATTTTTTTACTTTTTACAAATGAGGCTACAAGAAAAGTTTTAATTACATATGGGGCTCATATTATTAGACAGCATTAGTCTAGCCACTATCTGTAACCATGCCTGTTTCTTCTTTATTTTCTTAGGTAAATGCCATTAAGCCAAAAGGTCATTCTTGGGAACAGAATATCTACAATATATCAAGACTTGCCATTTTTCTTTTACTTTCCCTTAATTATACATAATTACTAAGAAAATAGAATCTTTATATTTAAAGCATGAATAATTCAGATATACCAATATGTGATAAATACTTAAAACTTATTTTTAAATTTTTATTGATATAATTGACATGTAACATCATTATTAGTTTCAAATATACAACATGATTTGTTATTTTTCAGAGTGTGTAGGTTTTCAAATTTTCCCGGCTTTAACTGACATTTGAATTAAGCAAACTCAATTATGTTAAACAAGAGGGCTTGTACTGTCAATTATAGTAAGCCATAAAATAAAATCACTAAATTTCTGTAACCTCCATCCAAGCATCAAGTAATTTATTCCTGCGTTTTCCCACAAGGCAAAACGTCGTACAGATGCCTGTTCTTTACATGTTGAATTCAATATTTTGTTAATAAACATAGACATACCTATTATATATAATTATTGAAATAATGTACTCATATATTAAAACTATAGTCATAATAATAATGCAAATTCTTATTAATGCAACAATAAAATTATTTGAAGGTGTCAATGGTTAAGTCATTGTATTGTATCTATTTAATAATCTAGCTGATAAAACTGAAGTTTACCCTTCAAGTAAATAACAACAAAAACACTAACCTTCTGCTTATCTAAGATCTTCATGGCATAATACTGTTCAGTGGCTTTATGTTTCACCAACATGACTCTTCCAAATGAACCTGTTCCAAGGGTTTTTTTCCTTTCAAAATCCTCCAAGCCAGCATTATTCTACATATACACAAAAAATAAAATAAACTTTAAAATTAGAAATTCTCATAAGACTATAATAACTATAATAAATTTAGTGATAAGAAGAGTTTATTTAATTTATAACCATTCATTTAAAAATGGTGAAGGCTACTGAAATTCTAAGTTATTGGTTCTATTTTTCCCTTTGAATAAGAAAATATTTAATGTTTGAAAAGAGAATTATATTGCAAAACAAAGCATAATAATAATGGAAGGAAATAAGAGGCTCAGATGATGTATTAAAGATCATATTTCACTATGAATTCCTAATATTGGACTTCTAATAAATTAATTTCGTATTTTAATAACTACCAACTGACCAGAGGCAGACTGACAAAGACAATCATGAAAGCCACGCATTCTTAATGCACTTGCAAATAACTCTAATGAACAGATAAGCTGAGGGATCAGAGTCCTTTCACCAGTTACCTCTGAAGAAAGCACCATGTAACTTCATTTCCACCTTTATAGGAGCTTATAGAACTAGATAATAACAGTGTGAGAGATCCCAATGGCTTTCTCTTTCTGATGTTATAATAACCCAGTATTACCTAAAATAGTAACAATAAGGAAAGAGTTCCTCATTCCCACAAAGATAACCAGGAGTCAAGAGTCTCAGAACAATAATCAGCCTTTTTTTCTCCTTGAATAGATGCTTTGTTATAAGCAAACATCTTTGTTTGGCTTTGACTATAGCATAGAAGCAAAGAATTGGAAGCATCAGTCTGTTGAATTTGTTGCTGCCACAACAAAATGAAAATTACTAGGAACAAATTGTGTGCTAAATAGTAGTAAGTAGTAATTGCTGGCCCGTTTGTTTAATAGGTTTTCATTACAAAGATCTCCAGAAAAATCTTAAAAAATATATTTCCAAGGGCCAGTCTGTACAGTATTTAGCTTGAGAAAAATGCGATACAATATGATTCTTGTATAAGTGAGGAATCGGAATAAGTATTGAAGTCCAACTGTAGTTGGACTTTGTTTCTATTGCAAATCAAACCTTGCCCCCGGAGACACAGCTTATCTTCTTGTTGAATCATTACAGAGGGAGCAAGCAACTCTAAGTTTCTACTTATAAAACTTGTTTTCATCATATTTTAATTTCAAATTTCTAATAATTTTAAATTGCCATGAGATTCTATGTCAATGCAGAAAGAAAAAAGTCCTTCTAATTCTGATCGGATTATTTAACTTTATGAATTAATAGTTAATTTTTGGTTTTATGAACATAGATGGATTGAAATATTTAATACAGTTTCCAACTAAATCATGAAAATAAACTTCATCGATAGACAATAGGACATCATTTTTTTTGCCAGTCATTGCTTTTCATACAAATATGCCATCTTCCTTTCCTCCCTCAATGTTTCATGTTAGATAATGTCTAACTTTTTGTAATCGCTAGTAATTATATTTTAAATTATAGGTCATGCTCTAAGTGTTGGTAATGTTGGCATTTTCATAAAACATAACATTTATTTAAAATTAAATATTTTTTAGTAAAAAATATTTGAAGTAAAAGATTTTTATGCTAAAAAGATGGTTTTCAAGATTTAATCCACCATTAAATTTAATTATTTATAACTTCAAAAAGAGGTTTTTTGGCAAGCATAGATGGCTCTTTTTATATACAGTTTTTAAATCTTAGTTAAGATCTAAAGTATTTAAATTATATAACACTTATCACATCAAAATGTTTATGAAAGGATCCCTGGGTTGGTATGTTATCAAAAGCCAAGTATTTGTGACTAAGAATTTGAAACTCTCCAATAGAATCCTTACTGTAATTAATAACGATAAAAAAATATGCTATCCTAGGCATAAGTAAAAATTACTCTAATATTAGAAAATATCGAGAGTTTGTAGCAGCATGGAATTAGTATCAAAATTTATGTTCGACATTAGTTCTTTCTCCAATTTAAGTATGCAAAAATTAGTAATGAAAAAAATCAAAACATGGCAAAAATTCCCACGTTAAGCTTACATTTATTAATGCTACTTGAAAATTAAAGTTTCTTTAACTATTAAATTATTTAGGCAAAAATCATGATTTTACTTAACACGTGATATTTAAATCATAGAAAAAGTTAAATTCCTTACCTGAGCAGGATTTTCCCACTTTTTTAAAAAGTCTTCTTTGGCTTTAGCTAGAAACTCTTTCACTAAAAATATATAAAAAAATTGTCTTGTAAGAATATTTATATTACATATAAATATATTTGTTTTAAAAACACAGACTTCTGTCAACTATGGTTGTCATAAAATGTGTACTCACAACCATGATACACTAGAAAGCAATTTAGTTTCTATCAACAAGAAACAAATATTTTCTCAAATTTTAAAAATCTCAAATATCTTTCTTATGGAGATCACTTTATTTATTTCAGGTCTAAAAATAAAAATACTGTTTCTGAAGACATATGTGAAAGTAATGTAAACAAGTTAGAAATCCATCTAGGACAAAATACTAATTGTAAATAAATCAGCAGTGATAGTTTAAAAGTACAACAGAGCCCTTAAATGTAAGAATTTAAAACACCTGGAAAATGTGAACTTGTTAATTTGTGGAGTTTCAAAAATAATTGATTTTGATAAAGGACTATTTTTAGATATAATGATTTATGTCATCAGATATGTGGTTTCTACTAAAGGAGAGAGAAAAGAGAAAACCCCACAAACTACCATAGAAAAAAATACCCACAAAAACTTGAAAACAAAAGAATAAAACACCACAAACAAACAAAAAACCCCAAGCATTTAAAAATCTCATTCTAAATTTGGAGCAAAACTAAATGTCTAAATAACTGATTTCAAATGTACCTTGAAGTAAAGCAATTAAAAATTTTATGTTTATATAGTGTTCAATAACAGCCACATTATTTTACAGAGCTGTGGTTTGAAGTTTTACATTTGTTAAATGATGAATCATTTTAAAAGATGCCTGTTTTTCATTGTCTTTCCACAGAGTAATTAACAATGATTTGTTTATAAACTTCAAGTGTTTAAAAACAAATAGAAAAAAAATTCCAGAGATAAAATAGCATTAAGAATATGTATTTTTGTTTCTATAGTTAGATATGAGAGCAAAGCCTGACTATATAAGAAATAAATATTTTAGACTTTTTGTTCAGAAAGTTTCCAATATTTCTTTGATATTTGAATCTATAAATAAAAAGAAAATAGCAGAAAATAGTATTTAAATAATGTTCAAATAGTAAAAGGCTAGATAAAATGAACAAAGAGTGGCACACTGGCATTTATTTCAAAAATTCTAATAGGGACGATGATGATGGTGGTGATGATGATAATGGAAAGAAAGAATTTTAAAAGTAGAAGTGAGAGACCCACAAAGTCTTTAATCTAATCACCTAATAATGTAGTAGTATTAAAGTGAGGAATTTTAAGACACACATAATTATTTTGCTTTATCCTTAGTGAAGTACAGTTGGCAAAACACTGCTACTAACCAAAAAGTTTACTGGTATTCTAAACTTTTGAAATTTAAAAACAGTGATGACAGGCACCAAGAGCAGACATTAGTTTTTAAGTAACAGAAGGGTGTGCATTTCTGAAGACATTATTTTACTACTTTATATAAACTGTCATTTGTATTTTGCTGTTAAAATACTTTCAAAATATCTATTTTAGAAAGTTTGAGAAAAATAATTTTTAAAATTAGAATTCTCCCATTGTATAAAAATCTCATCCACTAAAACAAGGAATCAAATAACTTCACCTGATTATACAAATACGGTCTAATGTCTCCTGGGAGGTGGATTTGGGGGTGGAAAATTCTTACTTTTTTTTGAGTTTAAGATGTTTTAAGTTATTCTACTTTTAAAAGTTAATATACTAGTTACAAATGAAAAAGAGTGGTTTTAAAAGTAAGATTTTTTTTTTTTGCATGGAATAGATATATCTACACATGGGATTGACTTGGAAATGACAGCTATAAAATAAAAATAACTTATTGCTAAATACAACAGTGGCTTTTAAGAAGCAACTTGTAGTCCTAAAATATGCCTCTGATTTCTTTTGAAAAAAATTTATCACCTATTTATAGAATTTGCACATCAAGTCACATTATAAACTCTCCAGATACCTGCCAGAGTATAGATAATTTGGAGACAAGGAAGACAATCAGAAAAAGAAAAAAAGTATCCCTAACATCCTGTTTCAGCTTCTGTCACTTTCTGCAGAGTGGATCTGGAGTTTAAGAAAATGAAACTGGTCAAAGGAAGGACTGGCAATATTTATTTGCCAAAGATGGTAAGTTGAAAGAAAATTTCCAGGTACTACTTAATTTTATTCATTGACAGGATATTTAGGAAATTCTTTGAAATATTCTCTGTACTCATCAATATTCTAAGTTTACTGTCAAGTAGCACTGTTCTCATAAAGGTCATATAAAATTATCAGAAATGAGAATAAATAAAAGATATTAAATTTTGTGAATTATTTAAATTAATAAAGAGATTCTCTTTTAGAGTAAAAGATAAGCATTAATTATAATGTGATTAAAGAGTTCCATGAGGAAAACTCTGCTCCTGAAGCACTTTTTGTCCCATAAGTATATATATACAAATGAAATCTCTAGCTTATACGTGCATTATTTAGATGCAAAAATGAACAGTTAATGCTATAAGAAATCAGTTAACCAAAATATACATCTTATAAATATAGACAACAAAAGTAAAATATTTCACATGCTGGATTATGAATAACTCTAAAACAATAAGAAATCCAGAAAAACATGTATTTGCTTTGAATTTTATTATTTTTAGACCGTGGTGAATTTAACTTTATAAATGCTTTCCTACGGTTATTTTTAAAATTTATATCTACTGACATAAGGTGCTGGCAGCTAATTAATAAATAAGTGGTGGGAGAGACAGCCAAATTCAAACACTGCAATACATTTAATCCAGAGTTCCCTATAGAGCATATGCTTAAAGTTCTCAATTTTTTCATTTTCTTGCTGTATTCTAATATGTAAGCCATATCTATATTTAACGATTTAAACCACTGTGATATCCTGAAACAGCCACAGGTTTTGAAGGTTGGCACACAAGAGCTAGAATGTTGGCTCTAACACTTCTTATCTACGTGATCATAAGTACCTATCTACAAAGCATCTAACAGTGATTAGTAACTCTCCTTAGAAACAAATATCTCAATGAAAGATTTTTCTGCACATATATTTTGTTCTATAGTGATCAGAACAAATATAAAAACATAAATGTATTTTCTCTTCAGTTTGTATTACTTAAAGAGTGTATCACACTGCATTCTAAAGAAACGAGCCTACCAAAGCAATCTATATGTTCACTCAAGGTCGGTTTCTAGGAATGTTCACCCACATTCACAAGATGAAGAAAAAAGAAACAAATGACAATTTTTATGCATTTCCAGAAGTACATTAAAAAAACAATTCTTATCACCTTCAAAATATGTTTGAATATATTTATACACAGGACATAGTTTAAAAATTATATTACAAGGTTCATTTTAAACATAGGAAAATTTATTAAAAATTCAAGTATGGCACATCTTTATTCCATGTTATTCAGATAATTCTACAATAAAGCAGAATGCTTCATTAATTACATTTTGTACATTTACTTATTAGGCATTTTGTGGTTCTGTTAGGTAAACTACATTACTGCTTATAAAAATAGCACGTTGTTAGTTATAGTATATCATTATCCAATGCTTTCTAAAAAGGTTCTCATTCATATTTTATAAGAATTTGGAAATTATTACTATACAGATTACAACTACTCCAGACGTTGAGTTCTCCCATCTCTTTGTAATGAAATAAATATCACCTCCATCTTTTACACCTCTTTATAATAGAAGCAAAACATTATTTAACTTTTATAATGGATATCAGAAAAATAGAAGGGAAACGATCTAGAACAAAATAGAATATAAACTTCCCAGGATAAATACACAATTAAAATATTAGCTGCTTTATTCAAAACTTACAACAGTACATTTTCTTTCAAAAAACCATTCATTAACCTAGGTTATCTAATTTAAGTGATGTGTATTAATCTATCTTCTGCTACCCTGCACAACTCCCACTGCTTTACAGTGCTATACTTGTTGTTTCTAAAATATCACCCAAGAAACTGCAATATAAATCATTTCTATAAACTCAACATAAAACTAAACAAACCTATTTCCTTCATTAACTAAAATGTTTTATTAAATCAGTATACTTTATTAAAATATAACTTTATGAGGAGCATTAACTTGCAAATAACCAATAAAAAAGTTTTTAAAATAACATTTTTTAAATTAAAAAGTAGTTGCCTACCAGATACTTCTGAAGAGGAGCAAGCTTGTATCCAAAAAATAAATTAAACAATGATTAAATGACACTCATATAAACAGCATAATAGCATGAATCATCTATACACATTTCCCCAGAATATCATATACAGAAATAAAACAATAATGTAGAAACTCAATTATTTGACTGAACATCTTTGACTGAACATATATGACTGAAAAGGACATTTAAATATTAAATGGTAAAGTGATAAAATCAATAATTACTGTTTAGTGCCAAAATCAATTACCATTGCAATTCTCCTTAAAACAACAACAAAGACTTTAACCCCTCATAGCAATAAAGCTAATAATATTAACACATATTGAAATCACATCCTATAACTATTATAATACCATCTCTGGACTTTTTGTTATTTATTTGAAACTTTACTGTAGGAAAGATACTCTGAATTATAACACTTTGTTAATTCCCTTCTGAAAGCCACTTCCTTGGTGCTGGTTTAACAATCTTTTCAACAGCATTTATTGAGCATTGTTCAGTGGTGCCAGAAAGTGGGCTAGATTCTGGGAACACTACAAAGAATAAACACATCTCCACTATTAAGGAGATGAGAAGTTAATGGGGAGGCAGATGAACCATTATAATGAAATGTGACAAGGACTATAACTAAGGAAATTATAAGGTGCTATGCAAGCTTCGAAGAGGAAATTCTTGGGTAGTAAGGTAAGGCATTATAGAGGACACAGCATTTGTGCTAAATCTTGCAGGAAAGAGTTCCGTTGGCAGATAGAATTGAGGAAGAAGACATAGGTTGGGATGATCTTGTATAAAAGGCTTGGAGGAAGGAGCATGGTTTATTCA